GTTGTATTGATCGGAGCAGAGACAACACACCGTAGTAAATCTAAACTAGCAGCTACTTCATCTTTTATTTTGAACTAAGAGTTATGAGACAGGTAGCTTTAAAAAAAACAAAAAAAAAAACAAATGCCAATGCGCAGCTTTAAAAAAATCAGCAGCAAAAGTATGTTTAAACTGTGCACGTTAGTATTATATGGCATAAGTTTGACAAAACATTGTGTTTAAATGTTATTTTGCTCTTTACTGGTTAAAAACTATAGACTAATAATACCTCAATTAACAGTTTAGGTTAAAGAGTCAAAGGCAGCTATAAACAAATGGGTTTTTAACTTTGACTTAAAAGAGATCTGGCTTTCAGCACTTTTTTTTTTTATATTTGCATTTTTTATTGAAAATATTTTTTTCCCATACAAGTATACATACCGATTTTACCATTTTCTTTTTCCCAAACACAACATCCAACAGAATCTGTGCATATATTCTATACATGTATTAAACTGTAAGCTAACTATTTGCATTTTCTGTAACTCTATAAGGGTACCCAAACCCACACTATTATTAAACAAAGTCTGATCTCCATGGTGAAATAAAACCTCGCCAATTTTCCCAATAATTTTTTTATTTTCCAGATTCAAATCTGATGGAAAAAGTCAGCCTTTCCATAATATAAATATTATGTATTATTTCAACCCAATCTTCCCTTTTAGGAGCTTCTGCCTTCAGCCATTTCCTAGTAATGGCTTTTTTGCTTGCTACCAACATAATCCTATAAATATATTTATCAGCTGCTCTTGTTGATCTTTCCATCGCTCTCCCCATGTACAGATCCTCAAATGTGAATGGAATACCCACCCCCAGTACCTTATCCATACAACTCTTTAAATCCTGCCAATAGGGGACCATGTAGGTACAATCCCAAAACACATGGAAGTGGCCTGCTCTGTCCTCTCCGCACTTCCTCCAACATTTGGTATCTCAGTATTTTGTTTGTGCTGGTGTACTGAAATATCTTACAACATTCTTCCAGCTAAACTCTCTCCACAAAGGGGAACAAGATGTTCTCCACTGTTGCCTACATATCTCCTCCCAGTTCTCCTGAGAAAGTCCACAGTTAGCATCTTTTTCCCATCTTACCTTTATGTATATTGTATTGCTTTTTTTTTTCAAATTTTCCAATCCTGTGTACAATCTAGATATTTTTCTCCCCAGCTCAATTAAATTGGACTTTTTTAACAATTCTTCCGTATAGTGCCTCAATTGTAAGTACCTGAGGAAGTCCTTGTTGTTTAAATCATACTTATTCTTTATTTCTTCAAAGCTTCGCATAGTATTTATTCATTGTGACACCAAGATTTCGGCCATAATCACTGTTTCCTAGTTATAGTAGCTGAAGTTGTGAGCTAACTCTGGATCTCTCCTCCTTTGGTCTGAAAATTGTTACCTCAGCTTTGTTTTTATTTAGTTTGAGAAAAACATGGTGCATCACCTTATTGATCTAAGTACCTAGTCAAAGCTCTGATGGATTCATAGTCAACTGGTCACATTGTGATATAAAGCTGTTTGTCATCTGCATCGTTAAGTTAACTGTTTTTTTCTATGATCTAAGCTAAGTGGATCATGTAGATGTTAAATAGGAGGGTTCCCAGAATGGAACCCCACATGGGATTTTTCTGGTCACTGATTTAAAGTTCCTAACTGACTCATAAAAGTTATTTTCCTTCAGGTACTATTTAAACCACTCCAGTGCTCTACCAGAAAGGTAAACCCAGGTTTCCAGATGCTCTAATAAAATCAAGTGATCAACAGTATCAAATGCTGCCCTGAACTCCAAAAAAACAAGCACTGTGGTTCTTCCAGAGTCTGAATTTATTTGAATGTCATTTAACACCTTAATCATGGCAGTCTATGTACAGTAATTGGCACGGAAACCTGACTGGAAGACGTCCAAGTAGTTTAACATTGTTAAGAAGGTATTTAAATGTTGAAACAAAACTTTTCAATAATCTTACTGATGAAGAGGATATTTGAGATGGGTCTGTAGTTCTGCCGGACCAGTTTGTCATAGTTTTTAAGGCTTGGGGCAAAACACCCGACATAAGGGATGTGTTTATAGGATTTGAATCAAATTGGACTGTAATACAGGAAAAACCTTCATTTTAAACCCTGTGAGTAAAAAATCCAGACCACAGGAAGAGGAGCTTAGCTGGTGAACAGTTTCTTCTAAGCTTTTGCAGTTTATTGTTTAGAATTGGTTTTCCCAACCCTGCATTTTCTAAGTAAAAAGTTAGCAAAATAATCAAAGACATTTTTAAATTGGAGTTCTGCCACAGAGATAGGAGGTTTTGTAACCTGTAAACTGTGGCAAAGAAGGCACAAGCATTGTTGTCCTCGGCGACCAAGTCAGAGGGCAGGATGTCTGAGTCATCATTAGAGCAAAGTTGGGCCAACCGAGCCACCCTCACTGTGCGGGACATGAAGCTGCAGGTCATGCAGGGATTTGCAGACAGTGCCTCCCCGAGGTGATCAAGCCCAGGCAGGAAGGGCACAGGTCGTGACCAGCATCTGCCTGAAGCAAAACGCTGCAATCCACAAAGCTATGGGAGCCATCTATGGAATAGAAAATAGGCTGAAACTGGGAGAGGGGGTGCAAATGCGGCCATCCCTGGTTAAAGCTCAACAGGCATATGAAAAAACTTTAAACAACCAGTTAGTATAATGAGGCAAGTCAACAAACCTTCAGCTGCCCTGTCGGTTACGGTGGGAGAGGCCATGAAAAACCGCCGCTGTAACCAGGTAGGAAACCCAAACAGATAAAACTGAATGTGGCCTAATCCCAAACAGACCACAATATCTATTATAAAGGAAAGGTGGTGAGAAACAGTATTGTAACCAGATAGAAGAACAAAAAATAAGGTGGCTTAACAACGCAAGGTGCAGGAAACCACACGATCAGTAAAACTGGGAGAGTGCCATGACTCACAACATAGGACCTAGTATTCAAGGCAAGAAAGACGGTGGGATTACTGAAAAGCATTTATTTAAAATATGGATCTTCGGTTCTGCAGTAGCAGTGGCTAGGATGTCTAAGGCAGGAATCTCTACAGGAGAGAAACACAGGTTAGTAAACACGATAATCTGACAGAGAATGATTATGAACACGTGAGTCACTAACCTGGTTTTATAGTTCAGTCTGTGCCCAGAGAAAGAGGAAGGATCCAGCCAATGGGCTGCAAGCAAGATGCGGCGGATCAGAAACACTAAGGTAAAGCTCTCAGGGTCGCCCTGTTGCTGGACATACGGTGCAAAAAGCTCAAAAGGTGATGCCATACAGGCGAACCGAGCCCTGGATGACGCCAGCATATATAGATTCTGACTGGTCATCCAGTGTATCACAGGTGTGACTCTGTTGGTATAATTACTTGAGCTGCACCCTCCAGCATGGAAAAAAAAAGATTTAATCATTAGAAAAGAAAACATACTAACTCCTAATCTCGAAAGAGAAAAAACTAATTTGATTTCCAGATAATAATAAAGCTTAAACCCTCTTCACACATATGCATATCCATCTTTATTTTTTTCTTGTATGTTCATAAACAACCAGGGTTATATTAGTTTCAGAAATTTTTGATGGAATTTTCGATACCACACTTTTCAACCCTTCCACACGTTTATCTGGAAATTACTTTCCATCCATGCATTTTTTTTTCCTAACACGCTTACTCCCAAATGGATTAGAAATTACTTTCCTACTATAAAAAATAGTTTTTCTTAATTTTTTATACAATATATGTTGACATACATCAGTTTTTTTATGCCTTATGCTGTCACTGACGGACCATTTGACAACTGTTTACGTGAAATACGTGATTGGACGTTCCTGTTTCTTTAAAACGCAACCATGCATAAATTCACTCATAACTAAGGGCAATGTAGGGAAACAGGTTAACTTAATTATTGTGCTTTTTGGACTGTGGGAGGAGCCAAAGTCCCTGGAGAGAACATACTGTATGCATGCGTGGGGCAACCCAGTCTCATGGGAAAATGTACCTCCACTACGTTGGTCCACACTGCAAAACCTAGTGGAGGTACATTAATGGCCATTTTTTGTGGCCATGTTTATACCAAAATGTTACAGTTTCACATTATCTTGAAAAATCTTTGCAAGAAACGAACAAGCAAGTGAATATGTACATTCCCTGAGTAAATATTCTGACAACAAACTATACATTTCTCACTAGAAATGTAATCAAACCTAATTTTAATGCAAAAACAAACTCAGGTTATTAATCTTTCCACAAAAAAATGAGCGAATGTCGGCCATATATATATATTTTTTTCTTCTCCCAGCTGGAATCTTGAAAGTCACGTGACTAGGACGTAAAACAATAGAAAGCGTATAGGCAGAAGAAATGTAACAGTACCACAAAAAAAATGGCCATTAATGTACCTCCACTACGTTTTGCAGTGTGGACCAACGTAGTGGGGGTACATTTTCCCATGAGACTGGGTTGCATGGGAAGAAGATAAAAAAAATAGGTAGAAAGACCTTAGGCTGATTTAGGCTCAAGATTTTCTACATCCCATCTCACAAATTCACTGTTAAAACCAACACAATTTAAAGCCTTATGGAGTTTCTAAACTGAATGAAACATTGTATTTAGCCTAAAGGGAGAAGAGGGTTTTAAAATGTAACATGATGACTTTATGTGACCGCGACAAGCTCTCGCTGAGCTTGACAGTACATACGCCTGTGACTGTCAATGTACAGTAATTGCTCGGCAGACAATCCCAATTTTTGATATTGGAGTCCTGCAATGTGGTAATGGCACAAGATAAGATGGAGAACCAAAAAGGCCCCAGGCTTTCCTCAAGTCTCTGAGGACTTTTGCTATTGCTTTTCTGTTTACCTCCATGTTCTTCAGAAACACTGGCTCTGTTAATTTCATGATCACGTATGCACAGAACTGAATGATAATTTTATTATGATACTTTTTATTTTTAAGGATGATTGGACAGAAGATGTGGACGCAAGTGGTTGTACTGGCAGTCCTGGTGCTAACGGTGATGGCAGCCGAAGGAGGCAAAGCAGAAAAACAAGGTGATTCTTGCAACCTCTCACACTTGTGAAACGATGAAACAATTTGGATTTAAGATCCTGAAATGAAGACACACACATGCAGTGCTTTTGCTTCTTGAACTTTTAATTTAGCCAGAATCAGCTTTAGCAAAATGCAAACAGACTATTGGTGTGCAGTGCTACTTCTCCAGTGTAATACGTAAAGAAAAAAAAAAAAAGAAATTTGCAACAAAGAGGAAATAAGTCAAATGGATTTCTCTTGTGTAAATTAATTGAGATTTAAGCTTGTTTAAATTACAAGGAAAAATTTGCCGTATCGGCATTGAAAGTTAGTGCAAAGAAGGAAATAAGCAATTTTTTTTCTTTGTTCCGAAACGTAAATATAAAACACAATGCAGTTTTAAAAAAGTTATAGATGTACAAGAATGAGAACTTTGATGTAATTTATCATTTCTTTGTCAAATTATATATTTTATGCTAAAAAAATAGTTTTAAAGTGGAATAAATTGAGATGCACTAATTTTTAGACTATTTACTCTTCCAGACTCTAAACAAACATATCACCAAATAATTTCCCCCTGCAGGAAAGAAGGAGCGCAGATCTGACTGCGGGGAATGGCAGTGGAGTGTTTGTGTTGCAAATGAGGGGGACTGTGGACTGGGAACCAGGGAAGGAACACGCACGGGTACAGACTGCAAGCAGACCATTAAAACCCAACGCTGCAAAATCCCCTGCAACTGGAAGAAGAAGTTTGGAGGTAAAAATATATATTTAGAGCTTGGAGATGCAGACAATCACATTGGAATCCCTGTTACAGATGTGAAAAGTCCTAAAATAGAATAATCGTTTGTGGAGAGGTTTAATCGTACACAACCCTTTTTTTAAATACATTAATTCAGCTATAAGAATCCCTAGATGAATAATAATTTCTTGAATAAAATGCTGCTGCTCTCTAAAACCCCTTTTGTTAGCGAGCAGTGGATCCAATAACATTTCATTTTCAGTTCTTTTGGAAAGGCTACCACATTTTACTTACAGTGTCCTTGTATTTTGAGCAGTTTAAGGTCTTCTGTTTTACCAAAGTATTAATGGTATTTTGAAAATCAACAGATCCATATCATTATGAATCCTTCACTCTGCTTAACAGAGGACAGGATGGGCTTTCCACAAATGGCAGCTGCTGCTCTCTGAAAAAGTAGGAGTTCAATAGTGTTAGTTAAATTTTGCGTGTTATCCAATCAGGGCTGTACTTTCTTGCTGCTTACCTCAATAGACCAAGGCTCAAACATCAACAGGGATTTCTCAAGGAGGCTGAACGACAGCATCCTGCTGCTCCAGAGTGGAGGGGAATTTGCGTCCAAAGCGGAATAAACAGCAGATAAATGAGCAAATATTCATGAAATCAGGTGTTTTTAGCCCATATTTATTACTATTTAATGACTACATTTATGAAGTTTAATAACGTATATTTTACCAATCATTTTACTAAATTTACAGGGGATATTTAACCTCCCTAGTACTAAATGAGAAATAGCCACTGCTTATCACATAACTATTCATTTAATCATAGCATAGAGGTCTAGTTACAGTCCCTGGAAAGTTTTTTTTTATATATTAGATATTTAGTCATTTAACAGACTTTTTTCTCACATAATACACACATAATAATGGGTTCCTGTACCAGACCCTATCTATACACAAAAGGAACTAAAAAAGATAGATTACAGTTATAAAATATATACAACTTTGATTTAGTTAAAATCAAACATATATTTAAAAGTGCCTCACATGTATTCTAAAGGGGTTGTGCTGAATTTGAGTTGACTTTCATTTGAGTTCTGTTTATGCTTCCATTTTTTCTTTCATTAATCAACAGTATTTTCTGTTTGTTGTTTTGTTCTTTTTTCATGTTTTTAAATGTGATAATGTCTTCTTGGATACTCTATATTTCTGTTTATGTTCTGTGATCACTGTGCATTCAATGCTATGTTCATTTATTTTTTCATTTTTGGATTCAGCTGTTCAGTCTTTTCAAAGCTGCAGTGCATCTTGTTGATTAGACCAACCGGATTCTTGTTGTTCTAATCATTTCAGCAACATTTATAAGTTTGCTAGACCTCCTCATCTGTTTATGTAATCCTGTTGTCATGCTCTTTGTGCTGCTTATTTTATCCATGTTTCTGGGCTTTCCTATATGCCTGTTTCTCTCACTTCACCAAACTGTAATGAATGATAACATTGCTGTTATCCTTCCATACTATTCTGCACCAAAACTTTACTAAAGGTGCCGACACTTTAGCCACCAGAGACTTTTTTATATTTTCTAATGAAAGAACATAAATCATAGTTTTTTTTTTTTTTATGTATATATTTTTATCAAAAACAAAAGAAACAACACGATGAACGGTAACAAAATGTGTCCATATCTGTTACTGATTAGTATTACGAGTATGAGTCACTTATACTAAGAATTGTACTGACATTCATCACTGTATTCATAGGGTTTCAATTATTGATGAACATACCCAGAGAATTCCACCTTTGTACAAGTACATGATTTCTATTTGTTGCTCCACTCCCCATAATCCATTGTTGCGTGTCATTTGGAAAAACAATGGCCTCATTTTCAGAACAAGAATGCATAAGCTAGCTAATTAGAGGTACAACAGAAATGTCTGCTGAGAATATGATACATTGTCATGGAAATAACCATCCAACATCATCATTACCAGCACAACAGAGTATCAGACATTGTTTTTGCCTTGTTTTTGGGGGGTGTAAATAGAAGCAGAGTGCATATGGTTTGGCAGGTTCATAACTCTCTGGATTTTGTCAGTCGAGCAGTGTTTGATGCTGAAGGCATGTTTACTAAATTTTTCACATTTTATCGTATATAAAAGCCAATTTCTGAGACATTCTATCGGAGTGATCTGGAGAAATCTTATCACCAAGTAGTCCCAGATTAGCTTTTTTTTAGCTGGATTCTCTGCTGCTAAAATCTCCAGAAATGACAAGTCTGGGGGGACTGCTGTTCCCATGGTAAAACTTGCAAGACAGGAGTCTCCTTCTTTGCAGCGGGCCTGTCAGAAATGATGAACTGATTGCAGAATATGTCCTCGCCTACTATATGCACAGATTGTGATAGTAAAAGTTTGCGGTATTAAATAACGTGGATCCAGACTCTTAATAGAAGAAATTTGTTGATCAAAGAAAATAAGGAAGTGTAACAATATGATATACAGTATCATTTTTGTGGTAAAGATACCGCAGTTGTAAGAATATGTTTGTTATTAAAATCATTTTATTATTTTTGTATCTTTTATTAGGGTCACTGGAAGACAGGATGTAATTCTGAGATGTCCAAAGAAACTTTGGTTTTCAGAGATGTTATAAACAAACACAGCCAACTTGACTGCACTGAAAGTACCTGCAGGGTTTACTTTCATTTTAACATCACACAGAAATAAAAGTTAAACAAACTTACACTGATGTTCTGCAACATTTAAGGTCAGTTTGAATAAAATGTATTTGAACTCAATGATTTTAACTTCGTGCTGAACCTACGTCAGCATTTAGATTATGTGCTGATAAGCAAATTAAAACTGTTGTGTGGAAAATATATATATATATATAAAAAAAAAAACGACCATAATGTCCTTATCCTTTGTTACCAAATGTCAACATCTTTTACTACATATTCTCTACAGCAGAGGTCATGGATCAGCGGACCTGCTGGCTAATTAGATTAGATTCAACTTTATTGTCATTACACAGGTACAGGTACAAGGCAACGAAATGCAGTTTAGGTCTAACCAGAAGTGCAATAGCAGCAAGTGCAGGATAAATAATGGTTCTATAAATACAGGACATGGGTTCTACTGAGTAAGTATAGAGATGAATACCATTATAAACAGAATCTTACTAATAGATGAATATAATATATAGATAACTAGTGTTATGAACTAAATTTACAGCTGGATATGTATCGAATATAATATACAGTGGGATATTACTATGATATACAGGACCCCAACCTGATTTAAAATATTAAATATTATTAATAACCCCATTTTGTCCGACGACAGTGTTTAACCCCGAAAGCTCACATCCTCCTTCACCGCTGCGCTCCAGACCTCCTGCGCAAAGCAAAGCCTACAGCCTCCGCTGTTCCTCCCGTCTTGCTCCGCTCCGACTTCTTCGGAGCTCAAGGAGAGCATACGCTATATTATTATTAAATTCAGGAGCAAAACATGCGGAAATTAACGCTTATTTTAATATGACATATTAAAAAAATTCCCACCATCATCCATCCAGTTTGTATGAACTATGTTTGTTCTCTTCTTCCAACCAGCATGTCCTCTAAACTCTACCATTTTCAGAAATACAGTATATTCTCTGACTCTCTGTCCATTTATATAAGTTTGTTTTTCTTGCTGTTACAAACTTACTTTTTTAAACTGTCAAGGAATAACGCCTTGACTGCTTGACCTAAAGTTGCTTAAACAGCCTTGATCAATTAAGTTATTGATTAAACTCAACCCTGAAAGTCTGCTGCGGTATGTGAAAAGGTTTCACCAGCAGATTTTGCAACTCTTGCAAGTCAGCTCTATGGATCAAACTTAGTTGTGCAGCATAAGTCACAGAGGTTTGGTTTGACGGATATTTATAGAATTCAAAGGGATATCCGCAGCTCAAGTTAGTTGTGTGGCAATTGTATCATTGACAGGTCTTAGACTGTGCAGCCCCCTATTGGACAAACTGTAATATAAGACCTTTCAATGAGAATCACCTTTACTTTCTTCCTAAACTGAGCTACATTGCTCACCTCTTGGTTCAAACCATGAAGGTGATGTTGTGGTCACCTAAAACATGCAAAGCTTCAGCACCGTTTTGTCTTTTGACAATTTTAGATAAATACTGACCACTGGAGATGAGTGATATCCAACATAAACCTCCAGTTTTGGAGAGGCTCCAGCCCATAAGGATGTAGCCTTTGCCAAAATAACTAAAACACTAAAGCAAAGCAATTTTTCCTGCTTCTAAAATATCAACTTTGAAGAAAAATGTTTATTTCTCCTTAATAAATACCACCCACTGAAATACATGGCAACAAAGAAACGATCAGTGTTATTCACTTCCTCTGTTTCAATATGTTATGTCAGAGTATTTAGCATTTAAAACAAGTAAACATTTCACCATGCTCCCATGAGGCAAGTTCATTTATTCTAAATTCCCACCTTGTATTTTTAATGTTCTTTATCGTCATTGTTTTACTGCATGTTGTCGGCATTCTACTGCAACTGTTTCTTCAAAGCTTTAATTGACATTTAAAGCTTTCAAAAGCCTTTCATAAAGTATAAAGAAGTAGCTGTTAATAATTCTGCAGAGTCATTGTTTGTTGTTCTGTAAAAGAACCTATAATAAAGAGGCACCCTTGGGAGCAGCGACAAAGGGTTGCACACACCCCACCTAACTCTGAATACGCTGAATGCACCACACATAAATATGCAATCACAATACAGTAAGGTGACTGTTGGTATGCATTTTAAAAATTGAATATTTGGTTTAAGCGATCTGACTCACATGCAGAGAACCACTCAGAGTCCAAGGGAAAAAGTTTAACAGGTTCATTGAATGTTGATGAAACACAGAAGTAGGAGCTGGAACCTCGAGAACTGGGGAACCGGAACCGGAGAGTCTGAAGGAGAGATCATAGTGATCAGTTCAGGGACCGTAGGAAAATTGACTGAGGCTTGAATGTAGCTGGAGAGAAACTCACGTTTGAGGGGGCTCTTGTTAATCCTTGAATCCAGTTTGTGGGGAAATAATCTAGAGGAGAGGGAACTCGTTGGAGAGCGGACAGGTAGACATACGTTGGACCAAGAGGAGTAAAGGAGCGGACTGTCACTTGGTTTTCCGATGAGAACTTGAACGGATCCAATGGAGGTTTAGCCCTGCTCAGTGTGTACTCAGTAATCCCTTCAGGGGGGGAAGGTCCAGGTTATCCAGTTACACAGGAAAGGCTTCCTGCCGAAGAGCAAAGACAAAAACAAGATTAAACTCAGAGAAACAAAGCTTCGGTTAGACTCTGCTAATCTCAGCTTGGCTAGAGTACCCAAACCTGGCAAACACGCTCGCGTCGAGGTAGTGACAGCCCACTGCTCAAATACTCCTCCGGTAGTGATCCAACGAGCCGCAGGTGTGCAGGGAGGCCCAACGAGGAGCAGGGCACCACCTGGTGGTGGAGAGAGAAAAACACAAAAACAACCCACACAAACTGGATTCCTAACATTTTGTTTGTAAGAGGTTTGTGTTCTTTAAGGTTTTTAAGTGTTGTAATACCTACTTTAAAGATTAAGGATGTCAGACTATCTAATGCAAACATTTACAGAGGTCTCTGTGTGATTAAGTTTACAATTTATTGCTAATAATGTACTAATGGAACTAAAGTTGAATAATTTATTACATAATGAACGAAAAGACTAGGATTCTTTGTTTACTGAACACATAGGTCAGGTGTTATGAGATAAGCAAAGCTGAAATGTTTTGAAGCAGAAACCATGTGAGATGCATCTCTTACCACACAGATTTAGATGCTATGTTACTATAGATTGTCTACTTAATTGAATTACATAGATTTTTTAGGAGGATCAAAAACAAAGAGATGACCTTGGTGAACCACAGTTTGGTTTGAGAAATAGGCTCTGCATTGAACTGACAGTCCATTCAGATCCAAGTTGGGATTAAAAAGTAAATCGGCACAATCCAGAGGGAGAACTGCTGAATAACAAAAAGAACCTGCTTGGGACAACAATAAAAAATCCTAAAATACCCACCAAAAAGATGTAGAAAAAAAGTTGGAAATATAGGGTTAATTGAAAAGAAAGATACAAGGGCCTGGAAAGTATAACAGAAGGACGAAATATGCTGCAAGCTGTACAAAAGTAGTAGGAGAAGCAAAATGACTAATTAAAAATATTGTTAACCTTTGATTCTCAAAAATGAGAGAGCAGCTATGGTTATAAAGATTCGGCACAGTAATACCTCTGTATTTTTGTTTGATAAGCAATATCTTGTCCAACATTAATGGAATTCAGAATCTGAGGCAGGACACAGAAAACTGCTTTTCACAGATTCTTGTCTTTCAATTCCACTGAGCTTGAATGCAAAGAAAGTCGGGGGGGAAAGAAAAGGAAAAAAAAACGTGTCAAGTTGTGGAAAGCTGATAGAGACATACCCTGGAACAATTTGCAGCTATGCTTGCAGAAAAATTAGTCTTCTAAAAACCATTTCCTTCTAGTTTAACTAACTTTTTTGGCTTCATTATATGAAAGTCCTGTAAAACAAACTTGTGAAACGGTTCAAGGTGTTGGAATACCTTTGCAACACAGCATGTGACACTTCAAAATGTAGCACAAGCTCCTGATAAATTGCCAACAAGTGGGATATCTCTCTCCGTCTCTTTGACATAAATTATGGTTTTGAAGGGAACAGGGCTTTCAAACTTGGTTGCTCAGAGAGTCCCTGTAGGATTCCTGCAACAATAGCCCTGTCACTCCCTCACTCTGCTCTCTTTCCTCCCTTTACCTCACCTCTCCTTCCACCTCTCCCTTGCTCTGATGAGTACTCTGGGATCTTGGCTGCATTGACACAGTCTTTCATGTGAGAGGAAGCAGACGAATGAGTGTCACAGCCTCGATAGAGACTGGCCGGCCTGGAAGAAAAATAATGTAGGAAGAGAGATGAGGAGAGTACACAAACACTTATGTACACACTAAACAAACACACCTTGAAAACTCACTTCTGTAATATACGCTAGCAGCTAATGGCATTTTTTGGAGGCAGTCCTCATCTGTTTGACTGTTTTTCTATTTGTTGTTTCCAGGTTGTTTTTGATGCATTTATGTGTTGGTAGGTTTCGCCATGTAGTAAAATTAAGATCCAAACATTTAAGTCCTTTCTGCTTCTGCATTGGAATCCATCTTTTGCTGTTAATTAAAGCTCTCCATGTTAATTATGTTTGTATTGGACACGAAATTGTAACAACCAACAACTGATTAAGCAGCTGTTCCACAACTCAGCTTTTTTCAGTCATACATGCAACATTTTTACCAGCAATTTTTCATTTTTGGTTCACTTTTTTTTTGCAGGGGACTGCAAGTACGAGTTCCAGGATTGGGGGGAGTGTGACCTGACTACAGGGAAGAAGAACAGGACTGGGGTCCTGAAGAGAGCGCTCATGGATGCGACCTGCGCTGCCACTGTCACAGCTACCAAGCCATGTGGGAAACTTCCCAAGACCAAGCTGCAAGGTAAGCTGAAAAAGCAAAATCTTTTCTTGATTAAAAAAACGAGTCATCGCTGGACACGTCGCAGCCGTCAGAAACTATGAGGATTCATGGGAATCATGTTGGAAAAAAATGTTTGTCTCTGGCAGAAAAGAAAATTAGTTTTCTGCTGAGCTTCAAAAAACAAAACAAGGCTTGGATGGATTCTAAATTAATGTAATACTGAAGTAGCATTTGTAGCAAGTTGACTAAGCAAAGCAATGAATCAAACTGTATAAGATGAACCTTTTCTGCATTTCATTTGCAATGTATCAGCTCTTGGACCTTGATGCAAATGTAAGATATACAGGGACCCCACACAGTTAGGAAAGTATATTAAACTATTGAAGTTTTATGTTACCGCTACAATGAATGTTAACTATGATAATTTTCAAATAGACCAAAAAAGAGATTTGTTGATTGCATGCGTTTTCATGTTACAAAGGACCGCATAGAAAACATTGCCAGAGAAAAGACTACACATACTGTATATGTATTCTTAACATTACACATTTCATTAAATTGATCGATTCAATAAAAAAAAATCTATAACTGTAAGCAGTTTCTATATATGCTATCTATATATATTATATATACATGATTTAAAAAACCGATAAAAAAAACTGCAGATAAGAAATTTAATGTTAAAACTCACTACTGTTGTTTTTCTTGAAAAAAATATTTTTCCTTCTCTATGTTTATGAGAACAACACATTAAAAAATATGAGGCTGTTGCATGTTTACCAAAGTATTTCATCACTCTACTTCAAGCAACACTTCAGATAGGAATAGATGAGACTAGAGGTGAATGAAGCTCTAAAATTATAACATTTTGGGTTATGGGTAAATATATGATTTTATCAGCTTCCATTGATATAAGTGTTTTTGGGCTAATTAGAGTTTGTGGATGAAATTGTTAATTATATGTTTCTAATCTTCTTTTATTTCAATTAAATGGAATATTTCTACAAACTTAAACTTGTAAACATGTCTGTTCTGTTAGCAAGGCAAAAATTTAACAGCCTTCTTTAAGCCTGTTGACAGTTGGTGCACAGCATCAAGTTAGGGAAGGAAAGACTTTTTTCTGTCAGCTAAATTTCACTAAAAACTAAGATCATCCCTGTTATTTGTCTCGTATCATGTGAGTTATTTTAAACAGGAATGTTTTTTTAAATAAAATATCTATACTTTCTAATAGTTTGATCTTGAAAACAGCTTAGGGGAAAAACAAAATCTGCACACCGTGATGCTGCCACCACCATGCTTCTTAGTTGGGTTTATAATAGTAAGTTTGTTTGCATGTTAGTTTATTTGTTTAAAGTTTTTCCTTATTTTTTTAGTTTTTTGGGGAAAATTTAAGTGTCAGCGTAAGTGTGGAGGTTGGTTGAGGACCCAATTGTAGAGATGAGGGAGACAGATATTAGATCCTGTAGGTTTAATCAAAATCCCAAAGGCAACAAAAGCTAAGTCCAAAAAAATTAAATGGAAAAAATACATGGGAGCAAAGACACAACAAGGAAACAGCACTGAGCAACTGCACAGGGAAAGTATATATAGACAGAACAAAACCTGAGGTAATCAGCTGATATGGAGCAGGTGTGGATGGAAGTGACTAGAAGGGAGCTAGGGGGAAGGAAACAGGCACAAGGGGGCAAGAGTGATCAACTAAGCCTGCATATATATTTAACACAAAATGGGAAATAAAACAAAGACCAACTAAATAGAGTTACTTAGATAACTCAAAGTCCAAAAGGGGAAAACCATAACATTAATTTGGTTTTTAGTATGTATCTCACGGAAGGGCGGCTATCTTTTCAGCATTATTAAGGCCCAAGTGGAGTGTATAAGCAATTATAGAGTTTTTGGATGGTTCTTCTACCTCCAAATGAGAAATATGGACCTATGTCTCACTGGGCGTAGGCCCTCTATCTCAGTTTGATCGGTTTAATCAGGTGAGGGTCAAATTTTCTCCAGTTCTGAATAACTGAGATTCCAGTACTTCCAGGAAGTTTAATGCTGTGGGTATTTTTTATATCCACCTGCAGCTTTTTTGCCTTGAGACAATCCCTTCTCAGAACTCTCATCTGACTTCATGTCTTGGTTTCTGCTCTGATATTAACGGTCATCTCTAAGACTAATATATTCTGTTTCAAATCATGTTTAGTGAACTCCATTCAGTGCAGTTATACTATAATTAATTTGAAGAAGATTCCCAAGGATTATCAGTGAAAACTAGATGTGATAAAAGCTTAAGTTGTAATGAAACAACAGCTGTTAACACGTATTTCTTAAGACCTAAGTTAGCATTGTAAATTAATTATGTACATCTACTTTTTAAATACCGTTATTACAATTTAAATAATTTGAGTTTGCTACCAAGCATATAATTCGTTTTTATTACAAATCAAAAGGATGAAACCAAAATATGGAGGAATATTTATATTATCAAGAAACTGATGCAAAAGGAAAATTCCAGACATTTAAATAATTCCGTAAAACTTTTTACGGAATGACTACGACCTGGATGACTGAGAACCTTCATCAGCATATTTAAATAATTCTATCACTAATATGAAGCAGGTTTCTATTGAGCATGTAATGACTAAAATTTACTAGCAACACTAAAGCCTTTTCAATACTATGATGGGTCAAGTTATTGATTTCTAAAGAAATGCAATTTTAGTGGATTGAATGAAAAAGAAAAACAGAAACTAATGAATGAGAAAAAAAAATAATGTTTCTACCCAAGCTGATTGTAAACAGGTTGGTTGAACTTATCATAACTGAAAGGATGTTTGCCACTCGTTTTTCTGAATCTTCTGCCAAACTGCTGAGGAGACATCTGATTATAGTCTTTTTTTATGTTTTGTTTTGCTCATAACACATCATTCTAAAGAATCCTGGATTTATTTTAATTAGAATGATTACTCATCAGAATGTGTATCAGTTTGCATCAGGGCTGACTTCTATCATCTTCTCTGATAATTGCTGTGCAAGTTCAGTAGATTCTCGCCTTGTCTCTTCAAACATCACACACTGATTGCATCTTTGCTTAATCCAACAAACCCATGCAAATGATTTAATCTCAGGCAAAGTCATCTGTGATTTGCATTCACATTCAATGCTCCATCACCCTGTAGGAACTCCTCCTACTTAACCGTGAAGCTGAAGCTCTGAGTGACAGTATCAAACTCAGCCTGAGATAGTTAACTCTCTATTCAGCTATAATTACAGGCTTTTAGTTTCCTCAGCCATGTCAAAGTCACTGAACTCTGGAACAATGAGTTTCTGCATTCAACATTCTGTGGTAAATGGAGAGCAATCAAAAACTTGAGTAGCACCAGTATTGACCTAATGGGGGAAAAGGTAATCATGTGAACTCTGGTAGAATATGTTACTGTCTTGAATGGAGCTGGTAAGAAGTACTTGATTTATTGTGGGTCACTGCAGTTTGTAAATTTAGTAAACAAGGATGTAATTTACCCACTGCGAATGCCTCATTGTCTAAACAGAATTATTATGAGTCTGGAAATGGTGCCAGTGGATAGATGCCCGGTTTATCATGCTCAGCAGCTGACACAAAGTTTGCACAAAGAGTTTGCTAATCCGCTTCTTCAAATAAATACATTCAGGAAGGTTCATTCTCACAAATACAAGGTGATGTTACATATTCTATTCAGTTTCCAAAGTCATGAACTATGAAATGTCTCTTTACTTTGTGCATGCAATTCAGCCAAGACTATATAACCAAAATTTTATAACTTCTAGTTAGATAATTTTATATTTTAAATATTTTCCACCTGTAAATATTTCATTTTTGTTTAGATAACTTAACAACATACACTAAAGTGTATCATTGTTTAATAACAGTGATAGAACAAATATAAGTTTCACTAAATGTTATTACAGCCATGCTAAAAATAACTAAGTATGCTCATTAATTAAATAGCATTTAGAAGCTCCATTCTAAGGAACGTTTTGGAGTTGCCTTTTCCTGTATTTTCTGCATTCTATTATACAAAATTGCTTTAGGTCATTGAAGTTTGCAGAAAAGTATTTGTCTAATATTTTTAAAGTTCCTCCACATTGGTAAACTGCATCAGAATCCCAATTTTTAGATTAAACAAAGTCTTTGGGCTGCACTAGAATTCAGAAGCACCCTCTTCTCTGGTCCCCAAATAAAATGCACTATCTATGGAAAGAAGCAGGTTTCCATAGATATTTTCATAGCTATTAAAGCTTTTATAGCTTCAGGCCAATATGAAATCTTTCCATATGGGCCAAACTTTTGGAAAAGGTGGTCTACATGTACCTACAACTTACATCATACCTAGAGTCACACTATAGGTGTGAAAAGTTGCAGTCGGGATACCGCAAACACCATATTATAGAAACAACACTACTGAAATGGTCTAGTGAAATCATGATGGCTGCAGACTCAGGCAGGTGTAGAGTAATGATTCTGCTATACCTGTCTTTGAGCATTGGTTCACGTAAACCAGGGATGTCAAACTGGTTCCAGAAAGGGCCGTGTGGCTGCAGGTTTTCTTTCCAACCAAGCAATAGCACACCAGACTCCATTCATCTCATTAAGTCATCATGTTGACTAACTCAAGACTGGACTCACTTGATGAGATGGCAAAGCCAAACAAAGCCAAACTAAGGCAAAGTCACCACCTTTACTATAGCCCCTCATACTGCTATTAAACATCCCGTAGGTGGTCTAAGACACTCAATTAACAACAAACCAATGAAGACTGTTGTTATCTTTGATGAGGCCATGCCATCATGCCAACTCCACTGGCTCCCCGTTGTCTATAATATAGCCCTACCTTTACAGGCTCCTGCCTAAATTAGTGACTTATTAAAGCCTAAAACTCAAATTAAAGTCTGAAGTCATCTGGACACAACTAGTTAATGGTTCCATGCACCTGCTTTAAAAGTAGAGGAGACTGCACCTTTAAAACAACTGCTCCTCCTAGACT